GATTCCCAGAGACAGTTCCCGTTGTCTCGACACGCATAATAGCATTACCATCCGTGTTCACCTCCACTAACCCATTTGATCTCTGTTTTTTTTTTCACCGTTAGTTAGAAAAAAAACACAAGCCACCACACTGAAAGACATACACCCGTGCTCTCGTCAACATAATCTACAATGCCTACAAAGTTGCTCAATGATATGCACGGAGCAAACTGGTAAACCTGGCAAACTCACCATGAGTAGGATCCGAAGTCGTCCAGAAGGACCAGCCATTAAAAAACTCTGTGCCAGCCTACGTGTTACATATAAAGACATATTTTACGCTGATCAAGATGGCAACGCACATGAGACTCTACCAAATTATACGGGGACGAAAAAGAGGAAGCAGTGGCAGAAGCACCGGACGTGGATGCAGTCCTCGTGCTGCTTGTCCCGGAGTGGCTACTACTGCCGCTACCGCTCCCACTACCACCACCACCACCAGTGTTATTGTTGTTTGACGATCCAGCTTTGCAGTAAGTCAAACGCGTTTGCGGGTCGACCAGGGACTGTTGGGAGACAAGGACCGAGCCAAAGGCCAGGCGAAGGTCGCGTGCTATGCTCTTGGTGTGTCGAAGGGCAACATCATGGACACGGGAGACGAGACTTGCTGAGACGTCATGGAAGACTATGAGGACAACGAGGTACACAGGTAGCACATTGAGAAGGAGCATCTAGAAAGCAGGGACTGTCTGTAGTTGTTGAAGGAGGTATAATAGAATTAAGAGGCGAAAGGAAAGGGATATTCCGAGTCCTGTGTATACAGGATTCGGTCTATAACCTGAGAACCTCGGTGGCGGTGCATGATGGTGATAGTCCGACAATTCGCCGTGCCGTGCATGCCGTGTTCCCTGCTTAGTAATACCTTTTTCCCTCCTTTGACCCACCCCGGTCCGTTCTTCGCTTTCTGCTCGACGGTGAACATGATTCACATCGCCGCCGTTTCGGTACGTATTTGAGATTTGTATGTTGTTGATGAACTTAACATTTGTTTTTAGTTGTTGTATCTCTGATCCCTAGGGAAGTGCTCGCCCAAACGGTCTCACACCTCTCTTTGCACACTTCGTAGCCATTTCTTGTTCCTCGACCTTGACTCAACAACCGCAGACACAGTCTGAGAAGATGCCATTCTCGCCCACTTTCCTTGCACAGACCGTCGCTGGGACTCTGCATTACTGGTGCTAGCAACTGGATCAACATCACTCCTGGTACTCAACAAGGCCCTACGGAAGCGTTAGCGGGTGACGCGTGACGGCTGAGATGGGCCAGTTGGTGATGAATGGGTTATGCTGACTGGACTCTTTGGTGGGAGGACTGGCCACGCGAGGCTAGAACGAGAATTGGGTATGTGACCCCCTCATTCTGTTCAGTCTGCCGACCAACTTTAATCACAGATATTGTCTTTGAGTCTGTTACTCGGGTATGGCCTCCGTCGCATAGTGAGTCACGTTTGGCAGGAATTCCGGGCGATAGAGATGGCCCATACTGTATGTTGTCATCTTCGTCTATGTGCAATTCTTCATGCCAGAATCTCCATCGTACGCTGCTTGAGGATCTTCGTCGTTCTGTTTGTCGTTGCTAAGGCCATTCATCCTCGCACCCTCGCCTTCAATGTATTCATTTTTATGTCCTTGGACATCCTCACCTTCGTTGTCCAGGCGTGCTGTTCTCAAGATCGATAGTCTTTTGTTGTGTACGATTAGACCATTATTCAATCGATTTGGATTTTCAAACATACCGCCATGACATCTGTGAACTGTGAGCCTCTGAGACGAGCAGGGGGTTCCCGCTCATTCTTTTTTTGTTTATGCTCCTGAGTCCTCTTCACCTTGCGGCGATTATCGTAAGTCTTCTTCAGTGGTATTTTTCACTCTTTGTTGTCTGCCAAATGTGCTTGTACTGATTGAGATTGACAGAAGGATGATGTCGAATCATATGCTCCTTTAACCTTGTGCTGCCCACGCAGGGCAGCCCACCCCATCTTCAGGACTCGGATCTGCCACGCCTTGCGATGGCCCACCGCTTCATAATGTAGGATGTGGTGGTGGTAAAGAAAGACGACCGGCACCTGTTCGTAGAATAACCTGGACAACAAATATAAAAGGGACGATGCTGGCACCAAAGCAGACCCCAAAAGGAAAGTTTGATCTGATCAAGCACCTCGTCCACGAGGTCACCATCTGTTCTCATGCCCGTTCCGTTCTCCTGTGCAACTGTCCTGCTACAATTGCACAACAGATTCTGTATGGATCAAGAGGGACGTTTCGGTGACTGTGAGGGCCGTCATCCAACGTGTTACGAGCGACTCCAGGGTATGACCGCCGTCGTCACCTCACTGAACTCGTATTGACGTGACTTTCATCTGTAGTTTGTAATAATTCTTCGTCGAGAGTAAGACCGTCAAGAAGCATGACCGGAAGGCGTCCTTCAACGATATGAGCACCGACTTCAAGGAAAGCTTATTCGCATACGACTCGACCGTCATCATGCTGCCTCCCCAGGGCAGGAGTATCTCAACAACTCAGCTGCCACCTAAAGGAATATGTAGCCGGGTGTTCTGTCGCTATCGAGTTCAAATCAGCATCATACGGTGGCGTTCAGACCATCATTTCTTCCCCTTTGATCCAGTTTGCGTTGTAGGAAGTCGTCGCACAGATAGAGCGAAGCTACATCCCCTGTCACACTCGTCAGCTGGAACTTGTCCTCTACACTTCTACACCTCTACGCCAAAGACGCCGGCGTTGTTCACATCCTCAGTCCAAGGCCGGTTTCAATACCATTGGCGGACTACGTCTTCCTTGACCCTTCTCGGAAGTAACTCACTCATTCCTTGTTGATATCGCGTCTGTTACAGAGAAGGGGACGTTTCCGCCCTCATCTACTGTATTCGCTGCACCCCGACATGGCATGGTCGTTAGCCATTGTGGATTTTGCTGGATGGTATCGCTAGCTCTATGAATGCATGCAGAGCTTGGCGGTCCGAGCTACGAGAAAGCGAGACGATCAGCAATTGCCGCCTCGCTGGCTGTCAAAATTACATTTCATATCCTCCAACGCACCTACTAGGACCTCCCGGCCGAAAGCCATCATCCACCTAGTCCAATATGTCATATCATCCTCCACATTCGCTCAATGTCAGGCCCAGATGCCATGAACATCATGTGATAGTAACGACTTGAGCTCAATTTTGAGTGAGAGCTCCATTGGAGGCGGCGTTGATTGAGTGGGAGGAGACGTCAGGGCTAGAACGATCATACGAAATACGTCGGATGGCAAGGACAAGAACCATACACAGCGTTGATGGAAGATACGGGGACTTGAACGAGTCATCAGCAAACTTTCGAAGATGTCAGTAATAAAAGTGAAGGATAATAGCACAGACATACCCTCAAAATAGCCAGCAGGCTTCAAACGACTCGCTTGTCACCAGTCTCTGACTTCACTAAGATAACAGTCTCGTCCCGAATCGAAACGTCAACGGCAGTAGATTACGATGTTGAGAGGCGAGAAATATACAGGGGTACTGCGGAGAAGATCGATGTCGATGAAGGAAGTAGGGCGTGGTGAGGAAAATGGCAGACGGAGCGTTATTTGAGGATGAGATCGTCTTGGAAAGTGTATTTCGTGGCGTTAATCAAGGGGGTAGAGAAGGCCATAGACGAGGAAGAGACGTGCAAAGATATCTCTCGTAGTGCTGGTGACGGCAACAAACGAAGACGCTTCAGAGGGGATTGCTAATGAACGGCTTCTCCTTAGAGTCGTTGGAATGCAGTGATGACCTTGAGCTTCTTGACGGCCTTTCCCCTGCCTTGGGCACCAGATAACCATGAACTGAACTAAATGGTCAATAAGATTTCGGCGAGATGAGAATGGCAAACATACCCAATTGGAGTCGTGCAACCAAGGATGTTCCCCTAGCTGAGCTATGCATAGCCCTCAGGACGTTGATTCCTCTACAATCGTCTCACAGACGGACGCGTTTCTCCCGTCCTCTATGCCCGCCTTCCTCCCAGATCATCCTCTTCTCGAAATTGACACGTCGATGTGTTGTCTATGTGAACCAACTCTAGGTGTTGTTTAAGTTGAGAGGCCGCCATCTTTCATGTTGAACGTTTTGAGGGTGAATGTAGGAGATTCGTGCCGGCTCCTCGTGCCGGTACTCTCGTTCTCTCTCTTTCTTTCTTTATCTTATCTTCTTCCTTATCTACTTATTATATAGCTCTTCTACTTTACTGCGGTGATCCCGCTTTCCTATTACTTATCCCGCCGTTTACTTATTGATTAGCCTTCCTTATTCCTTTGAGTAATAGTCCCTATCCTACCAGTATATAAGACCATAAAATTCTCCTACGTATGCTAGAACTACTCGAATAGAGGTTCTTTTAACCTGGTCTTTCCTCCGTTCGACAGCTCTCGCTTCGTCTAACTCTCGTGTGCCGTTACTGCCGACTTCCCGTCACAGTACCGTCACATATTTTTGACCTACAAGAACTTCGACTTCAACAAAACTCGACTTCGAAAAACAAAAGCCTTACCGGCAAGGCCTTGTCGATTGGAACCCTCTGGCTTGATCACCCGGATCTCCGCACGACTTTGCCTCGCCACCCCAAAATTCCGACAAGTTCTTGCTTCTCTCTACCTCTCTAAACTTGCTTCAATTTTTTTTTCTTGCTGCATCTCGGTCTTGACTATGGCGCCGTTTACCCGTTCGAAAGGGGTTGCTCCGCTAGCTCAGGGGCTCCCGAATCGGAGCAATAATGCACAATCCATATATGTCGAATCGTCGATCAAAGACTTTCACAACAGAAATACGTTGAACATGGTCATCATAAACGGTCGACGGCTTAGCTCCTAGTGCTATCAACTGGCATTATTGACACGCCATCGACAGATCCGCAGGTGACGTTGAAGGTCAACGTGTTGACGAAAACGTCGCACTGATTGAGAGTGCACAGTAAGCGACCCCGATTTGCGAAATGTGATGCACCGCAGGAAAGATAAAGAATGGTTAGGGTGGAGTCAAGCCAGAAGTGAAGAGTTCGACGAGCCGCTGGTAAAAGAATAAGAATCAGCTTTCAGTTGATATAGACGAGGCACAGATACATACTGGTTGTTGATTGAGATATTTGAGCTATCCCGATGTGGTTGATATCACCGTTGCTCCGTTGTGTTGACTGGTTGCATGTTGAATGTCAATGACGTGAAGGTGATGCGGGTGAAGTATTCGGCGCTGGGTGCGATATCTGCCTAGTGCCAGACGCACATCCTGAGAGCTGCTCCCAGCCGACATATTATCACTGGCATGCATAGCAGCTAACCGCGCCGGCCTGGCATAGGTATTGCAGCACGCGGCTGGCAATTGCCCGGTGAGAGTGAGGCCGGACGTATACCTGCGGAGGATTAGCTGACGATGCTGTGCTTTCCTGAAGAGGGAGTTAGCTTACGGTGGAGACGATCTGAAAGGCTTGAACGATGGCGTAGATAAGACGATACTTCGTTTTCTTACGCAGAAAGCGGCCTTGTACCCCATGCGAGTGATCTGCATGAGCACGGCCAGGACATGTACACAGTATGGACTGTGAAGCATAGACCGTGAAACACCGAAAATTTGGCGGTAGGCACGTCTCTCCCTCCCGCTTGCACCCATGCGGCTTCGAGTCCAATTGAATTCGCCCAGGGACGTCAAAAAAGTGCTGGGTGAACGTTTACGGGAGCAGATCCACAAGCCTGCTTTCTTCACGCTCTGTGAAGAACGTGCTTGAGGGTATGAGAGGCAAGCTGCTTTGATTGGATATTGGATTACCCGGTGGACTATAGTGCAAGTGAGCACAGCTGAAAGTAGAACAGAGAAGGAAAAGTACTAACCATCCCAAGCACGCATTCCTCTGATTCACGTCCTTGCACTTAGCCTTGCTCGTGTCGCTGTCGTCTGGATTCCGGATGTGATTTGAGGGATCCAAATAGGGCATTGACGCCCTCTTGTAGCGTCGCGCAGAAGGAGTGTCAGATATAGCGGTTCGATCATCAAGGCATCTCATCAGGAGATGGAAGCAGAATCGTCTGACGAGAACTCGGACTGGTGGGTGTAGTTTCAGAGTCCTGTTAAGACCAGGCAAATCATATCGTTTTTGAACAAATAGGCGATGCGTTGGAGGGAATACGAACAAAGCTCGCAGAGTTAGAAATCCATGGTAGCACGCTGGTATGACAAATGGTGGTTGGTGTCCGGTCTAGAGAGGACAAATGGCCGGTAGACATGCCGTTGGGGGAAAGGGCACCGTTGCTTTCTCGGTGCCATCCATATCATCGTACAACTTGTCCCTGTTGGCTTGGGGAGCTACGTCAGTCTCATGTTTGGGAAAATTGGATTATCATACATACGGGTCGACGTCGAACGGCCAAACATTTATGGGGAATGCGTAGCGGTGTCGCGAGGAGAGCTGCGAACGCAGTATTGTTTGATGGTGTCAGGTCGTCTTCAAAAATTTTGGTGATGTAGATCAAGGAGACGGAGAAGGCGAGGGATGGACAAGAAATGCGTAAAGATATCTCTTGTTGTGCTGGTGACGAGTCCTGGCTCACATCAACAAACGGCGAAGCGTCAAAGGAGATCAATCGATCACCAGTGAACGGCTTCTCCTTGAAGTTGTTGGAATCCGATAGCGACATCTAGCTTCTCAATGACCTTTTCCTCGATGACATGAGCAGGCTACCTCGAGGAACTGTATTAGATGCAATGTCAATAAGATTTCAGCGAGATGAGAATGGCGGACGTACGAGCAGTCGTACAGCGAAAGTCATTCTCCCAGCTGAACTAGCACACAGCCCTCACGACGTCAACCAACCCTCTTCACTGACCTCCCTTCTCTACAGCCACTTGGTCTTCCTCTCTCTGCCTCAAAATTGTGCCTCGCTCAACCTTCCATTCAAAATTGACGCGTTAACATGTCGTCTATGCGAACCGAATCCTAACGTGGTTCAGATTGAGAGTCAGCCACTGTTAGAAATGCAGGTTGAGACACCCCCGTGCCAAGGCATCGAACAAAACCTTGACGGGCGATGAGTACTAGTGTTTGCGTACGCATCGTCGGTGGAGAAAAGAACAAGTTGACAGTCGATATACATATGATGTCCTCGGATGGTGACGGAAGACGAAAAGAGGAGTTTTGATCCCGCCCCCGATCGGTGGGAATTTCGCCCTCCGAGCTGATTGTCCCTTCCCTCCCATGGCTCTGTTTCCGAGAAGGCAACACTACTGTACTGATGACTGAAATTTCTCATATCTGCGTAGGCTGGCGATGAAAGATTCCGTGTATTAAATAAATATACTATCAAGCACTAAAATACCCCGACAGCATTAGTTCAAGCCTCTCAACCTCCCTTCCTCCCGCTACACCTACTATCGCGTTGGTCTCGCCGTCGTCTGGGTTCTGGATGTGATCTGATAGATCCGAGTACGGGCATTGAAGGCCGCCTGTTGCGTCGCGCGCAGCAGGAATGTCAGATGTAGTGGTTGGGGCACCAAGGCATCTCATCAGGAGATGGAAGCAGAATCGTCTGGGGAGAACTCGGACTGGTGGGCGTAGCTTCAGAGTCTTGTTGAGACCAGGCGAATCATATCGTTTTTGGTTGGACAGGCGATGCGTCGGAGGGAGCACCGATAAAAGCTCGCAGAGTAAGAAACCTGTGATAAAGCGGCGATCTGATAAGTTGTGGTTGGCGTTCAGTCTCACTGTACAGCGAGAGGACGGCGAACTTGGCGAGTGGTGGATGGATGCCGCCGTATCGTCATACGACTTGTCGCTATTGGCTTGGGACACTAAGTCTCACGTTTGGGAGAATCAGACAGGTCCAGGGTGTGCTGCGGTGAAGTAGGGGGAAGGGTGAACATGAGTATTATTTGATGGCGAGGTCGCCTTGGAAAGTCGGTGTGGATCAAGGGAACGGAGGGGCGAAGAAGAGACATGTAAAGATATCTCTGTTACAAATGAAAGCCATGTCAATATGAATCTAGCACGCTGGAGGCCAGAGGACTTACTCGAGAGTCATAGGTCCTGGTGCACATCAACAAATGACGACGCGTCAAAGGAGATCGCCACTAGTGAACGTTGAACGGCTGTCTTTGGAGTCGTTGGAATGCGATAGCGACGTCTAGCTTCTCAATGACCTTTTCCTTGATGACATGAGCAGGCTGCCTCTAGGCACTGTACTAGATGCAATGTCAATGAGATTTCAGCGAGATTAGAATGGCGGACATACGAGAAGTCGTCCAACGAAGGACATTCTCCCAGCTGAACTAGCAGACAGCCCTCACGACGCCGGCCAGCCCTCTTCACTGACCTCCCTTCTCTACAGCCACTTGTTTCCCTCTCTCTGCCTACAAAATGTGCCTCGCTCCACCTTTTGCTCAAAATTGACACGCTGACGCGTCGCCTATGCGAACCGAGTCCTAGCGTCGTTCAAGTTGAGAGATCGCCACCACTGGAGATGCAGATTGACCCGCGCCAAGAAATCGAACAAAACTTTGACAGGCGATGAGCGCTAGCTGTTGTTTGCGTACGCATCTTCGGTCGAGTAAAAAAACAGTAAACGATGAACGTTAACGCTGGTGGTCGATCGAGGCTTTGTATGATGTCCTCGGATGGTGGCGGAAGACAAAAAGGAGCTTCGATCCCGCTCCCAATCAGTGGGAATTTCTCTCTCCGAGCTTGGCATTGTCCCTTCCCTCCGATGGCTCTCTTTCCAAGAAGGCAACACTACTGTACTGATAACTAAATTTTTCTCGTATCCACAAAGGCTGGCGATAAAATATTCCGTGTATTAAATAAATGTACTATCAAGCACTAAAATACTCCAACAGCATCTCTCAATGCACGCAGAAAAGATGCCCGCAGAAGACCGCACTGATACGTACCCAGCATCGCATATGCGTTATTGCCAAAGCAGAGTATTTCTACCTTCATGAAATCACTCCGGTGTACGGGCCTTCTAGGCCCTGTTCGGGTGACATGGCTTAACCCGACCAGGCCAGGCTAAGAGAACCGGTCACAAACGTCACAAGATCGGAATAACTCGGATGAATGCAGATGATGTCCGAATGACGTCAAGCGATCGTCAATGCTGCCACCGACGTCGTCGAGGGGCGTCTCAGCGCTTCCCCGCCTGTGCCGTTCACTGACTGACACAATGGCAGCAGTGTTCTTCCAAATTTGTGTTGATTTGTCTAGATATTCAATTTCATTCACAGGAGTACTATATTTCCTAGTGTTGTTGGCATTGTTGTAGTCATTGTGTACAGTGAGCGGGAAGGCGGGTAGAGCGAGCGCAGCATCGGTGTCGGGATGCAGGTGACAATGGAGTGACATGCTGAATAATCCAAATTAAGCAGACGGTTTAAATTTTGGCTCTGGGGCCGGGTTAAGCCGTGTCACCCGAACAGGGCCCTAGTGTCTTTGCACGTCATTCAAAGCTGTGCAACAAAATACCATTAAAAAGACGCCTGAGGTCGTAATAAAGACCTACCTTCGCACCGCACACGTTACCTCCTCATTTGCATGTATCAATCGCTCCTATGGATAAGTTCTGATCGCATTCCCTGTCAGTTCCACTCCGCACTAATTGATGTTCTCGGTGTTGGGATGGTCGTTCTTCAGTACGCCAAAGCTAAACATGCTAGTAAATGGTTCACAGCAGCAGCAGGTGGTGGATATTACTGAGGAAATTGGGGGAAGCGAAGGACGAAGAGCCGACAGACTGATTTGAACACGAAGGAGCGGAGCTTTTCGGAGTATCAGTGAGGGCTCCTCGCCCACAACACATGAAAAGAGGATCGTAGCACTGTGTGAAGGACTCATGCTTTGGATAATCTTCTTTAACCATCATGAGCTGCAGATGAAGGTGGCCATGAGAAGAGTTCAACAGAACGAGGACCGCGGTCATACCCGGGAGTCGTAGCGCGATGTCGAGTCCTCTTCCTTCTAGGCCATCTCCACTTCCTCCCTTAAAGCTGACGGTGACGCGTGCAACAGACTGCGAGAGTCGTTCAAGTCGGAGTGTCACCATTGTTGGTAGGTGCAAACTCAGGACTGTATTCAGGACTGTGGGGTGCTGGTTGGAAGGACCCGAATTCTGGGGGGATGGCGACGGAGACTATAAACTTCCTGTTCGGCCCAGGCTAGGCTCGGATGCTGGTCTGGCGTTGTATTGTTGAAGTGGGAGCTGCCGGGCTGGAATCAACGAGTATGAACGATGGTATGATCACATTGGATCAAGCGAATGGTAGCTTTAACTTCAAGTCGGGATGTCCCCAGTATGTGCGTTGAAAGATGTGAAACGGGATTTCGATGACAAGTGGTCGCAGTAATTGTAGGCCATCGTCAGTTTGCTGAGGCGACACGTTCATAAGAGCATGAGGGATAACGGATACAATGCTAGCGGTGTCATTCAGCAACACCCATGATGGCTACAATGACTGGACCACAGCGAATACCATAGATGAAGGCGGAAACGTCCCCTTCTCTCTACTGGATGCGATATCAAGGAGAGACGAGCGAGTTACTTTCTGGGGAAAAACCAAGATAGACTTGGTCCGCCACCCCATCGGCGGTAAAAGCGCCTTCGGATTGCGAACCTCCGCAGCAATGGCGTTTGTGGTGGAGAATTGGAGGGGAAAAGATTTGGCTGACGAGAGGAACAAAGGAAGTCGAGCTCTGCGATGACTTCGCAACATGCACACTAGAGCAGAGCGAAGGGATCAGTGGCCTGTATGTCAACGGTATGCTATGCCTGTATACGCGGACCTGGCCAGCCCATCTGTGAGTTGTCGAGATCTTGCTGCTTGTGATCATAGTCAAGTGGTACGTTCCAGCCAGCGCCATTTAGAGATTAATTCGGAAGGAAGTTCGCATTCTCGGTGTTAGGGCAGTCGGGATTTTCTGTGTAAGTGAAGGAGAACAGGAGACTGGCGGGGAAGGAAGATGAGGCAACGGTAGAGTTGGGTGCGAGTGAATACCGACATTGCCAATGAACAAGCTCTCCTTGGACACGTTGTTCACTGAAGGACTCTGTTGCGTCAGTACAAGTCCAATGTGATGACGACTATAACACGCCGGACGACGATGAGTGTCGGAGAGTAGGGGAATAATCGTTCGGACATAACTCTACATTGGAGATCTGATGCAACGGTGCATTCCGCAGGCGTGGCAGTTGCGATATAGTGGAAGATATTATTGCTGTAGACGCAGGATACGCATATTCGCTGATGACTAGGGCGACCATGATGTGGATAGGGAGATAGCGCTCGCACCCAATCCGCTACGAAGCTGGCTTTCGTGCTATTTTTGGTATCGTTGGGAGGCATTCCGAGCGTCCACGTCAACACCCACCCCACGCAGATGCGCCAGAGCATGCTGCTCCCGTTTTTCCGTTTGTGGTTCTCCAAACCTGCGTTGACTAGCGCCTGACACAATATGCAGCTGTCTGATGAAGGACGTCACGTTCGAATGAGGGCGGTCGTAGCGGAGGAAGGGAGAAGATCGTGTGGTGGAGAAGAATGGTCGTGGGAGATGCTCTGTCTGGAGACGAGACGTCACGGGTATTCACTAAGAGGGAGGACGTGTCGAAGGGACGTTGTCTGTCGGAGGCATTAGACTGTAGTGCGCTCTGTGTAGTAGGTGCAGAATACATCGATGCCCTGCCTGTATGCGCCATACGATGCAGATTTGAAGTGGTGCCGGTCAGTGATGAGAACAGGTTGTCGAGGTATTCCTGCATTGGGGCGGGGGATAGTCAAGTTGCGCAATCCAGCCGTCATCGATGTCGTCGCGCTTAGAAGCTAATCCAGAAGGAAGTTCGCATTCCTGGCGTTACGGCAATCGGGAAGTTAGTGTAGGATAGACGGAGAAGAGACAGTAGACTTGGTTGCGGGGAGACAGTGCTGAAGCTGAAGCTAAAGGCTCCACCGATAGTATACGCCAACGAACGAGCTTTCTTTGAAGGACTCCTTGTGCTTCTTGACAGTCTTCCGCGAACTGCAGATGAAAGTCACGTCAGTACAAGCCCAACGAGAAGGTGACAGTAGACATACCGAGAGTCACTCATAACACACTAGATGACGATGACTGTCGGAGAACACAGTCACAGAAACATCCCTCTCTGTGGCTGGTCCCGGCCATCCATGCAGCCTGCACCTTTCTTCCTCCCAATCCGTCTGCATCTCCCTCAGTCCAAAACTATCTCGTTGGCGTGTCGTCCAAGCATCTCTCAAACTGAAGAGCCGCTACCCTTGGAGGTGCAAACTAAAAAGTCTCTGCACCCGGGAATTGGGGAAATGTTGACAAGGGAAGGGGGCTTCTGTAAGCACGCATATCATTGTATGAGGAAAGATTTCGCTAGTCGAACAGGCCAGAGTATTAGTTGTTGAGAGAGGCTTTGTGTGCGCGTACCCGAGTTGATACAGGGTCCTCGATGACGAGGAGAAGAGCGTTCGATCCTTTTTACCCAAGAGTCGTACAGGTAAGAAGGACGTTCTCCCAGCTGAACCCCGCACGACGCCGACTACCGCTATCACTCTTCATTGGCATCCCTCTTCTACAACTATCCTCGCCTCACAGAGTCATGGACGCATCCCTCCCGTCCCTCCCTCCACCTGCAAAATGTCAAATTCTGGGTCTCGCTTCGTCCCAGGCCATCTAAGCGTCGTTGAAGTTGAGAGGCCACCATCGTTGGGGGTGCAGAGTTGAGGAATCGCCGCACCAAGAAATTGAAGAAAACCTTTGACGAGCGAAGAGCTTCTGTTTGCGTGTGCACCTTCAGTCGAGGTCTTTACGAAGCAGACGGCAAAGAATGCTGGTGGTCGATCGAGGCTTCGTGTGCACGAGTCGATACCTATCCTTGATGGTGGTGGAAGACTAAAAAGGGAGTTTTGATCCCGCTCCCGGCTGTGATCGATTCGATGGGGTCGTGCTGTACAGCAGCTATAACTCAGATTGGAATCAGCTTTTATGACCTCCCCTTCTTCATACACTGCACTATCATTGACCTACTATGGCAGAGGCTCTTGGAATCGCTTCCTCCATTATCACCCTCGTCGATGCAGCTCATATTATTGTTAGTTATCTCAAGGATGTCAAAAAGGCACCCAAAGAACGCGACAAGCTCTCCAAGGAGCTCTCCAATCTCGCAATATATCTTAATGCGGTGGATCAGCTCACTCGGACGGTGGATGCAGGTGACCCATGGCTTGCGATGGTGCAAAGGCTATCTGGTCCATTTATGCAACTCGATGTACTACTGAAGGATATCAAGAAGAAGTTGGAGCCTGCGTCAGATGGTATGGGAAAGATGAAGCAGAGACTGCTGTGGAAATTCAGCAAGGAGAGCATCGAGGATGCTCTAGAGAGGATCGAGAGGATCAAGTCCCTGATGATAGTCGCCGTACAGCAGGATCATGTGTAAATGGTTTTCATGCTGTTGCCCGGCGGATGCTAAGTATGATATTCAGGGCTTTGTCTCGTGCAATGAACCAAGCGTTGGCTATCATCGACACAAAGGTCGACGGAATTTCGGATAATACGATACACATCAAGCACAATGTAAGCCTCGTAGGCAGGAACATCACCAAAGTCGACAACCGAGTGAGGCATCTGGATGATGAGATATCACAAATCCGAAGACAGACACGGAAGATCCAGGGTGGTATGCATCTTTACTTTCCTCTCTGCTGACTAGTTACTGATAGTTAAACAGGTAAAATGCTTATGCACGTACTTTCTTGGCTCACTGACTTGAATTTCAAGTCCGTACAAGCTGAGAAGCTGAGCCAGCGGGTGGGGAATACTGGGAGCTGGTTCCTTAAGTCTGAACAGTTCCAAAGGTGGGTAGAAGGTTCAGCGGCATCGTCATGCCTGTGGTGTCCTGGAAACCGTAAGTTGTTCTGCTAGATAGCTTCCTGTCTTCAAACTAATGTATCTCTTCAGCGGGTGTCGGAAAGACCATCCTGGCTGCTATCATCATCGATTATTTGCAGTCGCTGAACCACAAGAAAAACACAGTTGTCCGGGCTGTCCTCAGTATCTTCTGTGATTATCGATCTGCAGCCGCACAAACTGTAGCCAGCCTTCTTTATGGCCTATTGAAACAGCTGGGTCAAGGCCATGGCTTCTCTTCCGCAACCCTATCATTCTTCCACGAGTGCCTTTTTGATGAAACACGACCTTCCCTTGACCTTCTTATCGAAATCCTTTCAGAAGAGCTGAGATTATTCCACCGTGTCTACATTGTTCTTGATGCACTGGACGAGTTCAGTGGGGATAATCGGGAAGTGCTCATCAACACGATAAAGTCATTAGGAGCCCATGTCTATCTCCTTGTGACGTCGAGAGACATTGTCATGATAGGATCACTCTTTAAGAAAGATGCCAGGTTGCATATCCGAGCCGTTGACGATGATATAAACTTGTATATTGAGAGCAGGCTCTCTTGTGACCGTCTTTCCCGCCACATCAAGGGGCGAGGCGATCTGCGTGAGGCGATACTTACTGGAGTAGCGAAGAAGGCTAGGGGCATGTGGGTCACTCATGTAATCACATTCGTTATGCGCGCTGACCATCTTTGTGTGTAGGTTTCTTCTGGCAGGCCTGCACATGGACTCACTGGCTCAGACAACAAACCGAAAGATGCTTCGAGATGCAATCAATAAATTGCCGGACAATATGGCAGATGCCTACGACCAGACACTGGAGAGGGTCGATAGTCAAGGCATACATGATAAAGCCCTTGCATATCGCATATTTGGCTGGATAGCGTTTGCTAAGCGCCCTTTGACCGTGTTGGAAATGCGATATGCATTGGCTGTGGAAAAGGATACAGCGGCCCTAGACCCTGACAATCTCCATGACGATGACCTTTTGGGCAATGTCTGTGCTGGACTTGTTGTCATGGACCACACATATACAGAGTTCAGACATTCTCAGACACCAGGGCCTATAATGAGGTTTGTGCGTACGTATGGATGTTCTAATCCTTCCGATATAGACTAAAGACGAAAATTCCAGATTATACAGCACAGGAGTATTTTGTCTCCCGAAAAGATGTTCTGTTTCCTGATAATATCCATGACACTATCACACGCACCTGCCTGACATATATGTCGTTCGACAACTTAGTATTTTCTTCTGGTCGCAGCGCTTGTCCCCAACAACTAGCTGAAATGAACCCGCTCCTTCACTACTCATCCAGCTGCTGGGCATACCATGCCAAGAAGGTGGAACTTTTAATGAAAACTGAAATCATCGCATTCCTCTGTATAAAGCGTAACAGAGTAGCTGCAGACACGTTCAGAGCGACATTCTGCGGCACAGACAGCACAACACCCCTTCCACTTCAATTTGCTGCTTATCACGGCTTGGTGCACATTGTGGAAGCTCTTCTTATCCAAGGGGCCGATCCACAAAAAGAACCACCATTGATGGCAGCCGTACAAGGAGGGCATCTTGAGATGGTGAAGCTGCTCCTATCACAAACTGATGTTGACATCAATCGGGCAGATTCAGTGACGAGACGTACACCTCTCATGGAAGCAGCATCTCATGCCCATGAAGAGGTGGTCAAGGTGATCTTGGAGTCAAAGCACTTGAACTCATTGAATGCAGTGGACCAATTTGGGGATTCAGCGCTATTCTGGGCAATTTCTCGTAGTTGTCCAGGGGTGGTCAGGATCTTACTTGCGACACCAGGTATCAATGTTACTTTACACAATAACAGCGGGCGTTCTCTACTTGCTCATGCTGCGTCTCTTGGCCAGAATGACATAGTGGAGATGCTTTTGGACCAAGAAGATATTGCCTGGTCACCTGAGACACAACAGGTACTCGAATTCTATGCTGAGAAACTCAGGTTGGAGAGATATCGGATAACCGTATAGGTCGATAGTTAGCACACAGTAGAAGTACTGAGGACTCACACGAACGAATCTTCCCTAATTGCCAAGATCAAGTGTGCCTCATAGCATCTTCACAACCTGAACTACAGATGAAGGTGACATCAATATGGGTTTAGCGGGATGAGGATCATGGACTTACGAAGAAGTCATAGGCCTGAGAGAACCGCTTATGATGGGCTTACGGGATTTTGAAAAGCCGGATCCTCAGCCTTCCACGGCGACCTTCCCCATCTCTCGCACTCACGGAGATGTCTCTCCCTTCCCTTTCTTTCCACCGTGACTGGTCCTCTGCCTGCACGATGCCAAATCCTGCGCTTCCCTTCCTCCCAATCCATCTCTACATCCCTAAACCATCATGTTGACGTATTGTCATGATCCCGTTCAAGTTGAGAAGCCACTACGAACAAACCGAGGAATCTCCGCACCCAGAAATTGGGTAAAATTGTCGACAAGGGGCTTCTGTGATTGTGCTGCGTGTCTTCTGGCGAGGAAGGTTTTCGTATATGAGTAGGCCAGGCATGTTGCCGATTGACTTTGCACGTTTGCACCAGAGTCGATTCATTCCTTGATGAAGACTTTGGCAGGGGTATGGCCATCGCAGATGAACAGCTTCTCCATAGAGTCGCTGCTCACGTCGACTCTCGTATATTGCGCTTCTTGACGACCGCTCATTCTGAACAACTGCGAATGACAGTCATGTCAATACATATTCAGCTGGCTGAATGTAGAGAGCATACCGGAATCATAGAACCAAGACACCTTTCTGCTCTACTCGTGCACGCAATATTTAGAGATTTGAAGTAGTCGTAGTGAATGTTCTCCTAGCTGATCCATCACGGTCCCCTCCACAGCGATGTTCCTCCGCTTACACAGCATGCCCCTCTCTTCCTGCATACGGTCGTTTTTTGCCTATCTGTTCCTCCCGCATCTTCTGTTCCTCTCATTCAACAAATTGGCCTGTCGTCCACGCGTCGTTTAAGTCGAAAGAATGCAGAAAGCAAAAATCATTCAAAAGAAGGACCTTCTGTGACTGAGCATGTCTCCATGCGAAGAAAGCTTTTGAGAAGCGAACAAGCGAGGAATGCTGACGACCGAGAGGGGCTCGATGTGAAGTCCTTGATGATGGTAGTCAAAGACAGAAGGAGAGTTTTGATCATGATCCGATGTAAGCGCTTCGTAGCATACAACAAAATCTTGCCTCGACAGCTGCTGTTCTCTCAGCGATGACATGCAACTTGGCAATATTGATTTTTGAGGACAGCTTCCCGACGTGGTCGATATCACGGTTGCTGCATTGTGTTGGATGGTATGCTGAACATTGGTGACATGCAAGAACCTGACGCAAGTGAAGTATCCAACACCAATTGCGATAACTGTCTGGTGCCAGACGGATATCCTGAGAGTGTCTCCCAGTCGGCTTATCATGCGTAGCAGTTAACCGCGTCGACATGGCATAAGTTTACGGCGCTTGGCCAGGAATTGCCTGACGAGAATGAGGCCGGATGTATACCTGGGGGGAGGGTTAGATGAAGATGCCATGCTTTTCTGGAGAGAGGGGTAGCTCACGGTGGAGACGATCTGAAAGGCTTGAACGATGGCGGTAGATAAGACGATACTTCGTTTTCTTATGCAGAACACGGCCTTGTACTCCATGCGAGTGATATGTAAAAGTATGACGAGGACGTGTACGCAGTGCAGACTGTGAAACATTGACCGTGAAACACCACAATTTTGCGTTAGGCACGTCTCTCCCTCCCGTTTGCACCCATACGGCTTCGAGTTCAATCGAATCCACCCAAGGACGAAACAGTACTGAGTGAATGTTTACAGGAGCAGATCCGCAAGCCTGCTTTCTTCACCTTCTGTGAAGAACGTGCTTGAGGGCACGAGAGGCGGCTTGCTTTGATTGGATATTGGGTCGTCCAGTGGACTATAGCGGAAGTGAGCCAGGCTGAAAGTAGAACGGAGAGGGAAAATTACTAACCATCCCGAGCACGCACTCCTCTAATTCATAACCTGCACTTAGCTTTGCTCATGTCGTTGTCGTCTCTCCAGATGTGATTTGAGTGATCTGAATATGGACTTAGAGGTCCTTTTGTTGCATTGCATAGCAAGAATGCCAGACATAGCGGCTGGGGCATCAAAGAATCTCATCGGGAGAACCACCTCTTGAGGAGGACACGTTTGGATTGGTCGGTGTAGTTTCGGAGTCCGACTGAGACCAGGCGAATCATCGTTTCTGGTCGGATAAGCGATACGTCGGAGGGCTCGCCGATTACAGCTCGCAGAGTAGGAAACCTGTGGAAGCGCGCCGGTCTGATAAAATATGGATGGTGTTTGGTCTCAACATATAGAGAGAGAACGGAGAGCCTGACAAGCGGCCGGTAGGCATGTCGGTTGAAGAAAAGGACATCGCTGTCTTCGCCATCCATATCATCCTACGACTCATCACTGATGGGGAATGCGTAGCGGTGTGGTGAGGAGAACGGTGGACGGAGTATCATTCTATGGTGAGGTTGTCTTCAAAAGTTTCTGTGATGTAGGTCGAGGGGGGCGCGCGCAAAGCTATCTCTCGTAGTGCTGGTGATGTCGATGAGTCCTGGCACGCATCCATCAACAGACGGGGGAACGCGTCAAAACAAACCGTCAGTGAACGGCTTATCGATATCCTTGGAGTCGTTAATTAAAATGTGATAGCGATGTCGTCGAGCTTTTCGACGGCCTTTGTCTTGATGAAGATGAACAGGCTGCCTCGGATACCAGATAACTATCATGAACTATACTAGATGCAATGTCAATAAGATTTCAGCGAGATGAGACTGACGGACGTACCAAAGAGTCGTACGTTCTCCCAACTGAACCATGCATAGCCCTGAGAGGACGTCGACCCTCTACGGCCACCCTCGCTTCCTCTCAGGTCATCCTCTGCTCAAATTAATTGAGTTGACGCGTTATCTATGCGGACTAAGTCCAAGCGTCGTTCAGATTGAGGAGCAGCCACCGGCGGAAGTGCACCATTGAGGAATCGCCGTGCCAAGACATCGAAGACAATGTGCGCGCGCTGTTCAGTGAAGCAAAGACAAGCAGACGAGGAACGTTGGTGGTCGATGTGCGTGCCCGAGTCGATACGTATCCTTGACGGTGGTGGAAGACAGAAGAAGAGTTTTGATCCCGCTCCCGATCAGTGATATCTCGCCTTCCGAGCTGATCGTCCCTTCCATCCAATGGCTTTCTTTAAGAGAGGGCGACACTACTGTACTGGTAACCTACATAAATTTCTCATACTCATGTAGGCTGGCAATCAAGATAACGTGTGTATTAAGTGTACTCTCAAGCACTAAAAGGCCCGGCAACATTAGTTCAAGCCTCTCGGATCTCGTTGACGAGAGCATCGCCACTGGATGAGACCGTGAATGCATGCAGAGAAGTCAGAAGGCTCAATTGATGTGTATCCCAAAAAGATAGCCTGAGGTCATAATAAGGGCCTAACGTACGACACCTAAATCTCCATTATGCCATCGACGTGTACTAATCACTTCTGCTCTCAGAGTTATTCACGCTCGAGACGCCTGCTTCTAAAATCAGGCGCTGCTAGTCCTGTCACACGTATGAACCCGAGAGTCACTCAATGCCAATCTCCACGACAACTAACGCGCCAAAACGCCAAGGGAGCGAAGAGTATCGTGAGGTACAGAGGTCTATCTAGCAAAAGGTCAGTCAATAATTGGAAGGTAATCAATCGAACTAACATGGAGCCACGTTATAGCATACGGGTAAGCTATGGTTGCATTTCCTGTCGGGTCCATTTCGTACTAATTGATATTGTAAACGTCGTTCTTCAGTACATTGGCTTTCACATTAGCAAAAAGTTCACGGTGGCAGTGGGTGGTGGGTTATTACTGAAGAAACCTAGGAAGCAAAGGCGATAGGCCGACTTGAACGTGAAGGACTGTATCGTAGTGCTGGCTCCTCGCTTGCGACGCGTAGAAGGATGATAGCGGCAAGTATGTGAAGGACCTGCGCTTCTTGACGTACTTCTTTAACCATTATGAACCGAAAGCGAAAAGTGATATCAATACAAGTCAACGAGACGAGGATCGTGAATATACCTGTGTAGGAGTCATAGTATGGTGCGTCATCCTGTTCTTCGCTTGAGTCCTCTCGGCCCCTCCCACTTGATTTCTCAGAACTCACAGCGACGTGAACCAAACTCCGAGAGTCGTTAAAGTTGAAGCGTTGCCATTGTTGGGATGTGCGAATTCAGGGCGTAAGGTGCTGGTTGGAAGGATCCGAATTCCGAAGTAACGGTGGCGGAATAGGCTCTGCGACTGTGAACCTCCTGTTCAGCAGAGGCTAGGTTCAGAGTGCGGTGCTTGTCGTACGTTACATTATTGTGGTGTGAGCTGTGATTTCATAGGACCAAGTGGCGACGGCTTTCGGTCAAGAGGTCCTAGTAGCCGTGTTGGAGGACGTGAAACGGAATTTCGACTAGTAGCACGGCAATTACCGACCGTCTCTATTTTCTTGTAGCTTGGACTACTAAGTCCTGCATGCGTTCATAATAGCATTAGGGCTAGCGGTACCGATGTCCACAATGGCTACAACAATCAAGCCATGTCGGGGGGCAGCTCGTACAGTAGGTGAGGGCTCCAGCTGACGAAGGGATGCTGTTGCACCCTAGCTCGGTAGCGACTCCTCGATACGTGCATCGAAGCAGAGGAGAAGAAATGATGGTCTGTACATCAATATTATGCCTGCCTTGTGTGCTATATGATGCGGCTTTGAAGTGGATAGCGACCAGACCAGTCAAATTCTGAGTTGTCGAGATACTCCTGCTCTGGGAAGGCAGCATAATCATAGTCAAGTCGTACGTTCCAGCCACCGCCGTTTGGAAACTAATCCGGAAGGAAGTTCGCGTTCTCGGTGACACGGTAGTCGAGACTTTCTGCATTGGTGTTCTAGGCAGTGTAGGCGAAGGGGAACCGAAGATCAGGGAGGAAGCAGAGAAGGAAGACAAGGCGGTAATGGACTAGGGTGCGACGGAATGACGCTGAGGGCTCCGACGACATTGCCGACAAACAGGCTCTCTTTTGAGTCATTCATTACTGAAGGATTCCTTCTCCTCTCGACGAACAAACTAAACTGCAGATGACAGTCGCGTCAATACGAGTTCAGCGTTCGAGATGATTCGTAACACGTTAGATGATGGCGACACGACCCTCGCAGTCATCGAACGTCCTTCACTGACTTCCTATGACTGGCCATTTGCCTGCACTGTGTCTCCCTTCCACTATGACCGAGGTAAAGGAATGAACTAATACCGATCTCCGTTGCGGCATATAGATGTCTCATTGAAAGGGACGTTCACGTTGCATCCTACTTTATCCGGCTGGCAGGCCGAGATTCGAATATGCGATGTGAGGTCTTGTATCCCGCAACAGGAATGGTGGATGGCCATCAACGCAGCACACCAAAAGGTGGAAGTGGGCCCATCTGGCAAGAAGGAAACAGGCAGGTGCAGATTCAGAGCCCGCCTCTTTTTACCATACGAGTCGATGTGTTGGTGAATGATAGCGTACCATTCTCTGAGTAGGGTAGTGCGCCTGATAAAGTATCGGCGAAACAGGGTAGCTGTATTAGAGAGCAGAAGATTTAGCCTAAAAATACAGCTGAAGAGTGACGGGTGGGGGAAAGGGTGTCACCGACGATCTCATCGTACGGCACCGTGTCTGTCATTCGCTGCCGGCTTGGGAAGAAAGGACGTTTAGGACCAGGGAGGAACGATGAACGGAGATAGTTGGAGATCCATGAATCATAGGCTTGCTAACGAGTTCCAAAGACAAAGGATGTTACTGGTCAGTGTTGTCTGACCAGCTGTCTCTCTATGCGCGGCTTGACTCGTGTGTTCTTACTGCATATGAAGTGTTAGGCAAGACCGGCCAATGAAAATGACTTTCTGTAGTGGTAGTGTCGTGTCCGCTTCGATATTTCAAAGGCATGTATCATACAGACGGGAATCACCAGCAACTATTGGGATGTGAGTGAGTGACACTCGTAGATATAAGAGCAACGTTGGCATACATTGGGTGGATGATTGCAGAAGGACGATGACAGGCAGAAAGGTGGTTTTTGCAGTCGCTGTTCGTCGAGAAACAAAGAGATAATCCTTGAACCGGGGGAATCCTTTATTCGTTCTGCCGTGCCTTTGATTTTCATCAGTTTTCGGATTCTTGTCGCCCGAGGAATAATCAGGTCATCAACGTAAAACGCCGCGAGCCATGAATACTCAGTGTACACTGGAGAGATGACGAGGAACATTGGAAGAGGGCATTGGTACGAAGACCGCCGTAGGAGACTGGTCGTACACGTGTGATGGCGTGTGGATTTTTGCAGATGCAAGAACTAGAGGACGAGACGAAAGGTCGACTTGGGCGTGACGCGTGAAGGACAAAGGACGCGTGGAAGGAGAATAGTGACCGTTCGGCGAATGACTCATGTTTCTTGGCAATCTTATTTGAAGGGGCTTCTGTAGTAGGAGACAAGCTTGGCACCATTGGGGTCTTGAGGTGGTGGTGGTGTTACCGGCGCGAGGCGATGGATGAAGACGGGTCGCGACAGTTCTTCAGCACAGCCACCATATGCACGAGTCCAAAAAAGGCACTGGCAGTCAACACTTATCGTTATATCTTGGTCATCTTCGTAGACGGTGACGACATTCCTGACGCGTCAGCTCCTCATTCTCTCGCCCATCACAATATATTCATCCCTCTTTCATCTCAAGGCCTCAAGACGTCAGTGGTAGCCAACAATGACAGCGGCGACTCCCTTCACCTTACCCTCGTGTCGGTGAACCCAGGCATCGATAACATTAATATCAGCGCTTCGCCCATCATATGATCTGATACTACCGGATTCGCAGCTGTGAGGCGCCTGTCATCGGTGCTAGAAGCTCAAGTTGTGTGATTCTGTGAAGGTGATTGTTGTCGCCGTGCATGCAGGGCTCTCAAGTACTTTCGCAAGGTTAGACCTTGGACGACCAATGGTTTAATGTTTTTTCTTTTTGGATACAATATATCGACGTCGTACAATTCTCATACGTCCCCGCCTTGACTACGGCTCAGGAGGACGGGCGCCAATCAACGATTATCAAGAACGCAACGCGACCCATCTGTTTGCCATCATCATTGACCCGGTTGTTGTGAAGTTGTGTCTTCGATTACGACCACGAGGACGGATCGTGAGTTGCGGCTTGCGTGCGTCCAACCTTGCTCTTCACCACTAACCATGGCAGATGTCGCCCTAGGAATAGCTTCGTCCGTTACCGCCCTCAACCAAAGCATCACTACTGCCATTAAATGTGTCAAGAACGTACACGATGCGCCTAAAGAAATTACCCAGTTCTTGACGGAGCTACAGTATATGGAGATCTATCTGTCCGCCCTAGGCAAGCTTATTAAGCTATCCTCCCAAGACGACCCCTGGTTGGAGACATTACAGCAGTTGCGCGGTCCTCTCCAGGAACTTACGGAGTTACTCAGGGGACTCAATAGAAAGTTGAGAAGTGGTTCTCCTGGGTGGAAAAAGGGGGCAACGAGACTGCTATGGTCGTTTACCAAGCAGAGCGTGGACGATGATCTGAAGAGGATTGAACGTCTCAAGACCTCGGTCATGAGCGCTGTGCAGCTTAACGATGTGTAAGTGACTCCCGCGTTCACCTCTCGGAGGCTAAGTTTGGTATACAGCATGTTATCTCATGCAATCAAGGATACGGTTGCAGATGTCAATGGCACGGTTGATGTTATCTTAATGGGTGCGTTCATGGTCGAGATCTATAGTCGTATTGACTGCTGATACGCTCGTACCCGGCAGACGACAAAGCTGAGAGAGTGGCGAGGTGGCTGACCCCTTTGGATTACGTCACCATTCAACGGGCGAAGCTAAAAGAGCGCGTCGGTGACACTGGAGAATGGTTCCTTGAGTCCTCAGAGTTTAAGAGTTGGAAGGACGGTTCTACGGAGTCCCGTACTTTGTGGTGTCCTGGCGGTCGTGAGTCAAATATCGCCACCGTTTCCTTGAAGCTGATATATCTCTTTAGCGGGCGTTGGAAAGACCGTCTTGGCCTCCATCATCGTCAACTCTCTGCAGTTGCCGGACTACGAGGAGACATTCGTCCAGAAGAAGACACTTGTCCTGAATATCTTCTGTGATTACCGATATGCGAACGCACAAACCGTAGAGAACGTTCTCCGTAGCCTCTTGAAACAGCGAGTCCAAGCACACGGTCTCTCTGACTCGATTGCATTCCTCTATGACAATAACACACCCCTTTTCCTTGATAATCTCACCGAAGTCCTCGCACAAGAGCTGAAATCGTTCGACCGTGTCTACATTATCCTTGATGCCTTGGACGAATTTCCGGAAAATGATGGAGGTCAAGAGAAGTTGATTAATGCCCTGCGGATGCTGGGCAGCAATACTCGACTTCTTGTGATGTCGAGAGACATCCCCGCGATAGGATCACTGTTTAAGACAGATACCTGGTTGGATATTAGAGCTACCGATGAGGATATCAAGACGTATATCAAGACCAAGTTCTCTTCTGGCCGTCTTTCCCACCACATCAAAGGACGAGGCGATCTGCGTGAGGAGATACTCAGCGGAGTAACGATGAAGGCTGATGGCATGTGTGTCAATCATGCAGCTGCGCGTGTTGCACCTATTGACTGACTCTCTGTAGGTTCCTTCTGGCGGGCATGCACATGGACTCACTTGCTGAGACCTCAAATCGAAAATCACTTCGAGATGCACTCACAAAACTGCCAGGAAATATATGGGAGGCGTATGACAATGCGCTGGAGAGGGTTAATAGCCAAAGCGAAGACCGTCAGGAACTTGCGCACCGTGTATTTGGGTGGATAGCCTTTGCCAGGCGCCCTTTGACGGTGTTGGAACTGCGGTATGCATTGGCCGTGGAACCGGGGATGACAACTCTAGACCTCGACAATCTCCATGATGAGGACTTTTTGGGAGATGTCTGTGCTGGGCTTGTCGTCAAGGACGAAACATATAGCGAGTGGGAAGAATTTCAGCTGAGTGGAGCTACAATGAAGTTCATGCGTAAGTGTGGATGATCTAATTTTTTTCTACATAAGCTAAAGATGAGTTTTCTCTAGATCAAACAACCCGAGAGTATTTTCATGACCGCCGATGCGCTGAACTCTTTCCTCGCATCCAAGAGACCATCACGCGCACCTGCTTGTCATATATGTCACTCGACGACTTTGAGCTTCCCACAGATGTTGATAATGCCGACAACGACAACGTTCTCTGCGCTCTTGCTGAAAAGCATCCGTTCCTGCACTACTCGTCTGTTCACTGGGGACACCATGCTAGCGGACCAGTGGAACATTCAATAGAAGATGAAATCGTTGCGTTTCTCACTGACGGCGTTGACTCGGCAAACCGCAAAAAGGTCGCGAACATCTTTCATAAAAGAACCGTATCCAGTGAGGCGCCTGTTCCAGTTCAGTTTGCTATGGATTATGGCCTCTTGCATATCATGGACGTTCTCCTCTCACATGGAAAGTACCCATGCAAGGAACCGCTGTTGCTGACAGCTGTACAGCGAGGGGATCTTGAGATGGTGAAGCTGCTACTGGACCAAGACAACGTTGATCCAAATGCCCTGTCACCCTCATCGAAACAGACACCCTTGTTGTATGCTGTAGAAGAGCAGGGCCATACACATATTGTGGAGTTGTTATTGCAGTCTGGGCGGGTTGATGTGAATAGCAAGGGCAGGAATGGATGGACACCCCTTATGATGGCGGTCAGTCATGGAATCATACCGACCGTCGAAGCCTTACTGAAACACCCTGGAATTGATGTTTTGGCGAGAGACGATGACGGTAAAGCTGCGTACACTCATGCTTGTCACTCAGGACCAGACAATGGTGGGATGGTTACGCTTTTTAAGAAATATGGATGCAGCGCCGAGTTAGATAATTATCAGCCTATCTATCTGACGCCTGTCAACTATCTACGTTCCCAATGAAGGAGTAGGTCTTGCGATCTAGGTGGCATTGTTTTATGTAGAATTGAATGCACTTTTTACTTGATTCACAGAATAGTTGTTGCGACTCGCAAAGTCGTATGAGTTTAATTTGCAATTGCCTCGAGTTGGGCCTCGTTACAACTTACAACTTGTATACATTTCTAGCAGCAGCAAGTTCGAGTGAGCCATTGGTCTACTTGACGATAAATCAGTATAGCATACAGAGAAGTTTGCTCCAAAAGATAAATACGTAAATATGGATCGTGGGAGTACCCACATTTTGCGAGCGCAGGCAAGCACACGGTGACTGGAGACTTGGGTGCAGGCGGTACCTCCGGTAAATCCCGATAAACAAGCCGAGAGCAGACAATACCGGCTCCAGCAAGGAAGAATGCGATTTCTATAACCTCTGCTATGGCCGGTGGGAAAGGTTGTATGCAGGCAGGCTCGAGCCATGCTTTGCCTTGTGGCCGAAGTCGAAGTCGAAGCCGCAGTCATGCAGAAACTGGCCTATGATGTTGTACTGGTATCCTCCGTGATGATCGGAAACAGTAGAAAAGACTAAACTAGCAGTGATGAACCTTGACAACATCCAGCATCTGCATCAACCCCCACGATTCCCAGACAACACCCTAGATGCTTGAGCCTCCTGTTGATCAGCAGCGTGCGCCGTCGAGTGGCTACCAGGTGCCCATCCAGCAGCTCCCTAGCGCTGGCTTCCGTATTCCATTGCAGGGGACCTCTCACTCTGGCTTACCACCAGAGTATCTTGCTGGACAACCAATTGTTAATTGGGCTACTACCCCCATCTACTTCGGCTCCGCCATCTTCGATAAATCCGTCCATCCATGCAAGATCGAATACAACCGGCCTAATTTACCTGCACCTTGCTCAGTTGCTGTTGACAATGCAATTATCTTCCATGAGGGGCGTTACGATCTGCTCCAGTTCAATCCTGATACCATGGAATTTGTACGCGCGTCTGAAGGGCGTATCCCGGCTGGCAGGAGGCCGGTTAAGGGCGGCTACGAGGAGGATGGGATGCCGCTGTACCATGGTATAGCTATGCACCCTAATAAGCATAGAGTACCAGGAAAGACGAGCCCTCGCTTGTATGTACTGTGTGCTGTCGTGTGCTGTAGCTGGCCAACCCCTTCTTTAGGCGCGGATGCGTGTACTCTTATAGTAACGACGTGCACCTTGTTACAGACTATGAAATCTTGTGCGCACAAATACTTCTTTGCATTGCTTTGAGTATTATTTAACTATATCGGCAGGTGTTGGAAGTAATGGTGCAAGTGTATAAGACGAGCGAAGACCCATTTGAAAGTATTTCCCCGAATGCAGTGGGATGTAACAATGGATTCATTTCGGTGCAAAGCATCGTCATCTCAGTCATATGGTAGAATGTACAGAGGAGTAACTTAACCTCGCCCATTTTTTTTTCAACTCGGATGATGCAACCAGATTTTGACCAGACAAGCAAGGTATGGGTTAGTGTCGAAAAGAATCAGTGAGCCCATGCCAAGAATGTGCGCAGAAAAAGAAGAGAAAGGTTGCAAGATGCCGCAAGGGTCTTTGAACGAACCCGTGCCAGTAGTGGAGAGATATCACGATGGGGTCATGATACGAACCCGCCCAAAGACACAAGGAAGAGAAGGAGGAGACCAAAGAATGACAATTTGTGAGTGGTCGATACAGGAAGGATTTAGAGAAGTCAATGATGATGTTTGCAGTGGAAGGCCCAGGAAAGGGCGATCCGAAACTCCGATCACAGCTTCCCTTCCGTTTCCCACCGTCATCGAGGACTACGGAAGCCCTCATCCATTGCCTGTTACGTTCGGCTAGCAAAAGCTTGCATGCATGCCACAGAAAGCCCTTCCCTCGTTGATGTTTTAGCCAATTTCTGGGCGCGGAGAGTTCTCTAAGGGTAGTGGCTCCCCATCAACGCAATGGGAGAAGGGAGGCGTAGGATTCGGCATCGTGTAGGTGGAGGGCTGAACAGAAGAACGTGTCCATGGTCGTCGTCATCGCTGCTAGTCGCAAGCAGTTCTTCTGGGTGTACTAGGTCTACCATCCATACCCGGCTGAACTTGTACTGATGGTCACCAAGAAGCTTGAGCCGTCCACCGAACCTTCACTATCCTTTTTCACGCGTCCTCTGTCCTTCAAAGCTTCACGCCCAAGTCATCCTGCCGTCTCTTGGTCCTCTGTTTCTTGCATATGCCAAAATCTATGCGCCATGCACGGCTAGCCTCCTACTAGATGTACCAGCCGTCGGTCTTCTTACCGATACCTCTCTCCGATGTCTGTTTATGGCTCCCGGCGTTTTACACCGGTGACTTGATTGGTTCACATGCGATAAGGATCATAAAACAGATGAAAATAAAAGACACGGAAGAACGAATAGTGGATCCGTCCGGTCTACAGGTTGTCGCTTTTTTCCTCGACGGACCACGACTGCGAAAATCACTCTCATGCCAATCACCAGAATTCGTGAGTGACGTTTCGGTGACTTGTGAGGGTCGCAGGCAGGGTAGCGTGTCGCTGTCATCCAGCGTGATACGGACGACTCCAGGGTATGTCTGTCTTCATCATCTCGAACGCTGGACTCGTATTGACGCGATTGTCATTTGCAGTGAAAGTGGGGACGGCGATGAACGACTTCAAGGAGAGTCTGTTTGTCGGCAATGCCGTCGGGGCACTCAGTCCCATTCCGTCGTGGCTATCTCTATATCTTCCTTCTCCGCTTCCCTCCCTGATCTTCGGTTTACCTTCACCCACACTCCGATGCACAAAATACTGACTACCCGAGAACACGTATTTCCTTTTAAATGGTGGTGATTAGAACGTACGGCTTGACTCTCCAGAGCAGGAATATCGACAACTCACGAAATTCGCTACTCCGCTATCCATTTCAATACTACTTCATAAGCAAGGTGTACGATCATTTCTTCCCGTCTACCTACTTCTTTATGCATATCGGAGAGTCCAGAGCTCGGGTTGCAGCGTCATTCCTTGCCCCACTCGTCTTTCTCCGAGTCCACACGAAGACGCCGTTACGATTATCCCGCTGAACAGCATTGTAGTCCAAAGAGGTTAACCATTATCCCAAAGTGCGAAGTCGCTTTCAATACTGCAGATGGGATGGTGGACTACCTCTGTCTCGACCCTTCCCAGGAAGGAACTCCCTCGTTTCTTCTTGATTTCGCGTCTGGTAGAGAGAAGGGGACGTTTCCGCCCTCTATGATATTCGTTGCCCCCCCGCGGTTTTTACAACATAGAACATCAACAGCTACTGGGTGGAAACCGCAACATGTTATTGCCCTTCACCGCTACGCGAGTCGTCCAAATCATCGTCTTTATCTTTCTTTTTGTGATGTTTCTCTCCTCCCCAGAATCCCTGTTCGCTTCTATCGGCTTCCTGGTTGAAGACCGCATAGAAGGGGTCTTACCTGTTCTATGTAGCGACATACCGAGTCAAGATCAACATTGCATTTTGTATAATCAGTGCCAACACAATACATTAGGACCAAAATCGCATACATACGTAGAAATAAGTGTAAATGAGGAGAATAAGTAACACAGAAGAGACGTGCAGTATGAACATAACGGGTCTGCAAACCAGCAGGACAACCCGGTCGACCACGATATGTATGGGGAGAGAAACGGGGCCATAGGAGCTTTGTAGCTATTCTCGTAGGATGCACTAGAGTCGGTTTGGGTATATCAATGACCTCTGTATATCGTCGACAGGTACTCCAATAGTGCGAAGGAAGACAAAAGACAGACGAAGAAAATGGCGGGGAAACGAGCCGGACCGGATTCAGCATATAGCGTGTACGACGCCCTGTCATGAATAGTCTGTTCACTCAGCGAAAGCTTTCCTCATTCGAAGACACTCGCTTCAACATATCCTTTCTTCTCATCCGCCTCTCAGGCTGTTCCCCCATGCCCAGACAGCGTCATAAAATCCCCTTCTAGCGGAACGCCCTTCTCAAACTTCTTCGCTAAATCCGGGTTCACCACTCATGGAATACCAAAGAAAACTCCATCCACCTTCCCATCCTCAACATACTGCACCGCCTCCTCGCCTGTGAATAATGCATTCGCGAATACATTCGTAGCGGGATTCTTCAACAAGGGGGTATACGTTCCGAGGACATCATGCTTCGTTGCACGCCGAGCCCCGTCAATAACAGGATCGAGATTCCCTGCGTACCGCACGAGTGCAACGTATGCGATCCCGAGTCTGTCAATCTCTGAGATGAGGTACCCGAATATGCCCAGCGTCTCTTGAAGCGGCATTCTGTTCAATTCATCAGTACAAGTACAAGCCACGTCACTTGAAATGAGGACATACCCGACATCATTATACCCTTCGGCGGGGTTCAACTTGATACCGACCCTGTTGGCACCCCAGACGTCTACCGCGATCTATTCTCCACGCTCCGGCCTCATTGATCTGTCCGATGTTTCGCAGTGCTATCGAGGAACTGGTGGATCAGATACCAGTTCGCGCCGTGGATCTTTACGCCGTCGAACCTGGCCTGTTTCGCGTTGATAGTAGCCTGTTTCCATTGGCAAGTAGAATTCGAGGGTCGTCGATTGCAGTAGGTGTGACATAGCCTGGCTGACCAGGGAGGAAACGGAATTTTCCTCCTCGGGCAGAGATTACTGAGGGTGGGAGTCCTGAGGCGATTTGCTCTGGTGCATCGGGGTGGCTTAGGCGTCCAACTATGTGTTAGTATGTATTTCCTGCAGTAGAAACACAGGGAACTGACGATGCCATAGCTAGAAAGTAGACCGTGTTAGAGGCTACTAACGAGACGAGGGTATAATAAAATATACCTGTGCGAAGATCACGCCTCCCTCTTCGTGAACAGCGTCTGTGACATTCTTCCACCCGTTGACCTGCTCTTGAGACCAGATACCAAAAGCATTCTGGCAATCAGCATTAAAAATCGGCGTAAGCACCAGCACGAAGAAGGGCGTAAGAGAAGGGCGTGCCCTTGTTAAGCGATGCGAATGCCTTCCGTGACAATCAAGCCAGCACCCCCTGCGGCGCGTTGTCGGTAGTACTCGGTGTTGAGACTATTGGGGACGTTCGTGGGGATGGCATGGTTCCGTGTCAAGGCGGACATGAAGAACCCTATTCCTGAGGGTAGTAGGACCAAGTTTGAGGGGTTGGAAAAGAAATCTGAGGTTCGACATCGGTGGAATGCGAGAAAATGCTTGTTGGTTGTAACTCATGAGGATTTTTGAGGAGTAGCATACTTGTTATGTATACGTGTCGCGACCAAGGCCATGCGTAAAGGGACCCAGTATGAAGCATGACCAAACGTAGAAAATTTCGAGTTTCTTAGTAAAATTCCGGTCCTTGGGGTTGACTGTGTCCAGGCACCAAGCGAAAAAGTTGAGTCAGAAGCTACGCGATTTGAAGGATTTGATGACCGGGATCAGCTGTGCAAATATGAACGACTAGTGAATGACCGAGGTATCTGGGGGAGGGGTTTACTTGGGTGCTACTTGTCGGCCCGAAGTTCATGTTCCAGCCGGCACCAAGTTCAAGAGTTGAACAATCGGCGGTGGCGTAGTAGGGCGAAACCATAAGTGTTTGATGGTAAGATGCTCATCTTGGAAATTTTCGGCGGTGGAGAACACGGCAGCTGTCGGTGAACTGTGGTAGATGCAAGTAATGTTAATAGAAGAGTTCAGCGAGATGAGAATGGCCGACGTACTCAGGACGCCAATAGCCCTCCCGTCCCTCGCTACGCCTGCAAAATGCCACATTATGTTCCTGGCTTCCTCTTAGGCCATCCTCTGCACGTTGACGCGTCGAACCAAGTCTGAGCGTCGTTCAGGTTGAGGAGCGGCCGCCGTTGGGGGTGCAAAGTCGAGGAATCGCCATGCCAAGAAATCAAACGAGGCTTGAAGCTAATTCCGATCACAGCTTCCCTCCCATCTCCCACCGTCATCGAGGACTACATCGACAACACCATGTCGTCCGAGTCCCATTCAAGCTGAGGCGCCGCTATCCTCGGAGGAATCTCCGTGCCCAAAATTTGGACATGACGTTGACGAGGGAAGGGGATTATGTAGCGTGCCTTCAGACGGGCAATACTTTCGTTAGATAAACCGGCGTGGAATACTGGTGGTTGAGATTGAGAGAGCTTCGTAGGAGACATTTTGATCGGAGTTTCAAATCGCCCTCTCCATCCCGGACCATCCGATGGCTCCCTTTCAACACTAGTATACAATTTGGGCTTCTCAGCTCCACACCGACTATAACGAATCGGCGAATACTCCAGTCATCAATGTACTAGGTAGCCTGGCTTGCGACTTCTCCAATCACTACATTTGCCAGTTGCCCCATATTATTTGAGTCTGACAACGTCCCCCTTTCCTACCGTGTTACAGCATGCTTTATTTTGGTTGAACGCTCCAGAAAAATATCATTAACGCACGGACAAGGATGCTGCTGGCAATAGGTGTAGGTATTCGACAGGAGGGAGGACACGTCATAGTAAGAGAATACATCCACGGCAGACTGCGATTATACCACCTGTGAGCTCGATGACCCAGAGTAGTAGTTGAGAGAAGGGATCAGAGCTGGATGGCTGGAGGCATTTTGACACTTGTATTAGAAGAGCGGGCTACGAAAACGAGGGTTGGGCTCTCTTGTTGTATGACGTCGCCTGGGTTGTACACACGCTCAAGGAGACATATCTACT